CACACACACACACACACACACACACACACACACACACCTTTCAAGCAAATCATGACTAAAAAATAAGTTTGTTTAATATTTACCTGCGTGAACTCAAGGAGAACTGACAAACATCCACTAAAAACCACCAAAACACCTGTTTACCTTTAATGAATTAGTGTTCATTGGGCAAAATTATTTAATTGGTTTAAGTTGGTTGATATTGGTTTTAGTTTTTTGGCCACTTTACAGGTCAAAGGCATATATATGAAGTGCTATTGTTGTGTTTTGTTGTATTTTAGGTTATTGAATAATGAAGGCTCTCTATTGGCATATTCTGGATATGGAGACACTGATGCAAGAGTCACTGCAGCCATTGCCAGCAACATTTGGGCAGCTTACGACAAAAACGGACACCAGGCCTTTAATGAGGACAAACTGAAATTCATTCTGATGGATTGTATGGTAGGAATGAAATTGAACAGTTGGGTTACTTGTATATTAAATGATTGTGAATGCTGATCTTTGACGTATGCAATAACATATGCATTATACAAGATATGCACAAATTCAGCACAGCAGATGCTATAGGCCGTGTCCGGGTTTACCAAACATATGTGCTTTTTTGGAATTGCACCATGCCAGAAATAATACTAACATGATGAACTATTGTATTGTTCTACAATAGTTTTCTTTACAACGTGCTGCATATTACAGGAGGGCAGGGTGGCCATTACACGTGTTGCAAACTTGTTGCTTTGCATGTATGCCAAGGAGACAGTAGGCTTTGGGATGCTTAAAGCCAAGGTGAGATTTGGTGTGTATATATAATAACTCCTATTTACTAAGAAACAAATTCACATGGCATGTATTTTCATGAGCAATCAAAGTAACTGTTTGTTATGTTCACAGGCTGAAGCTTTAGTGCAGTACCTTGAGGAACCACTAACACAAGTGGCAGCGTCGTAGGATGTACTTCTGTGTATTTGTGTACATTGAAACAGAAACTTCTGAAGATCTTGGCCTTTATAATATATTATCTATGGCTTTATTTATTTGCATACTCTATATGATTGCTATATCAAACTGTGTGGCTATTAGATCCAAAATAATGCTTTGCATAAATCATTAATAATTACATTTGAACTGCATTTTCCCTTTTCTTCGTTTATGTCTCAGTATTTTTGCAGTCAGTGTCAACAATATGAAATACATTTTGAATAATTTTTTGTTACATGTTGTTATTTTACCTTTAAAACAAGAAATTGTTGCTTTTTATTAATTACATCTGGAATAATATTCGTTGAACCAAAAATATACAAAATAAGGAATATTTTATACGCATTTCATTCAGCTGAAAATTGTGTGTCATAATGAAATATCACTTTGTCTTAGTTTGGGGTTTCTGCATTTCTTAAAAAGGTCTTAGAGTCACACTTTTACAAATTGTAAAAGCTGTAAAAGTTCTTAAATCAGAGCACTAAATCTTGAATTCATAAACTCTTGGCATTAAATCTGCAAAAATATCTTCCTTTTGTGTTTTTGTCTTGTTTTTCAGTACAAATATCTAAGCATCCTTAAATCTAGGTACATTTACTTGAGATGCAAAAAGATATGAAGTCTCTTTTTCTGAGAAATGGAACAAAATTAATTGAGGTTATACTTAAAACAAGAACAAATATGTGTCAGTGGGGTATGAAAACATTTTTGAGCCAGATATTTGTTCAAATTTAATCATAAGCTCACTTCATTTTGGTCAGTTTCTCATAAAACAAGACTTCTTATATTGTCATTTTGCTTCTAAAGCAAGATTTAAGAATCTTTAAACATTTGTACTATAAAATAAGACAAAACTTCTGATGGAAGAATGTCACTTTTTTGTAGCTTTTTTTTTTTTTTTAGTTATTTCCATATTCTAGTGGTTGGGAGCAAAGGTATTCAAGCCATATGCTTGAATAATTAATTCAAAAGTAATGAAGATCAATTGGAAGTTGTATCTTCAAGACATTTACATTTATAGACCATACTGATGTTTTGTGTTCCATTCAAATTATTCCTTATATTCTGTTTTCTTGGTCTTAAAAAGCATAAAATTGATCTTCATAAAACCTGCAGAAACTCTCTATAATATTTGTGTTCAAGCAGTAATTAACCATGTAATCCATGACAAATGCCTTACTGATCTTAGGAGAAACTGCTTCAAAAGAGCGATTGGTTGCATATGGTGTGTATGTCATCGTTTCATTGGCTGAACAGGTGCACTATTGCACCCAGTTTCATATGACTGCACCTGCTCTCGCCCTACCTGTTTGACCTGACTTGAGCGCACCTAAAGTCACGCCCACTTCCCCCAGGTAAGGCACATTTGATAGCGGAACTGCCAGGCTAAATAACAAGGCTAGTTCCTTGTACAAACAACTGAACTGTCCACCATTAACGGTGGAGTTTCATTTATATTCCTTACTGTTTTTCTGCTATTTCAGGTCAGCCACTGCATAGAGAAGGGGAACTTACATTCTTAGGTTTCCTTGGAATTGGTTGGGATTTTGACTCATGCAGCACTAGCACTAAAATCGATTAGTGAAGGAAGATCTGCTTACAGGAGAGACAATATGGGGTCTGATGAGGCCTACAACTTTGTTTTCAAAGGTAAGATTTGACACTTCCATATAGTATATAAATCCCTGATGGAGCTTTGGACTCTTTTCGATGGTGTTTAGTTAGTTTTATGATCTGCAAGCATTCATTTAATTGTTTTGCCGTTGTAGAGTAATATTGGTATTTTCTCAAGAATAAATCAGTTATAGAGGAATACATAAAGCAATTGTGATAAGAAAAACAAGGTGTCATTTGCTTTGCACATTTTTATATATTTTTTTATATTTAAACAAAAAATGTATTTATTATTATTTGGAAGTACCATGTGCAATCCTCCTGTTTTTAAAGCTCTGAGTTTACCAAAAAAGAAACTGAGTCCTATAGGTTGGTTGAAATCTGATTTCCATGACAACAAGAGTTTGTTTACACAAGATTACTCAGTTAAATTACTCAGTATGGGAGAGGAAATAGTTGTACCTGTTAAAACCCATTGTGAAACAATGATCCGCTAGAGCATTCTTTAAATGACACCAAATCACAGACTACTTAAAGTGACCTGCATTTTTTGTTGGTTTCATTACGGTTAGATTGAAGCAGAAAGAACAGGAAGTTTTAAAGTAAACTATATAAAGCATGTAAGATCACGATCATTTAAAGGGCCATGTTTATCACCTGTGCTGGTGGTTTAATCTGAAATTACATTCAAATATCAAACACTTTAATTGCAAACAGATATTTGTGCATTAATTAAAGGAATAGTGCACCAAAAAAAAAATTTGAAAATGAAAATGTTCAGGCCATCCAAGATGAAGATGAGTTTGTTTCTTTATGGGTACAGATTTGGAGAAATATAGCATTACATCACTTGCTGAATGCTGAAGTGAATGGGTGCCGTCAGAATGAGAGTCCAAACAGCTGATAAAAACATCACAATAATCCACAAGCAATCCAAACGACTCCAGTCCATCAGTAAATGTCTTGTGAAGTGAAAAGTTGCTTGTTTGTAATAAACTCATCACTATAACTCATCATGTTTTAACTTCAAACAGTTGCTTCTGGCTAAAATATAAGTCGATAATATTGTTTAATATATAAGCAATATAAAATAATAATAACTTGACCCTCTAACATGTGCTGCTTTACACTACCCGGGACTTGTCACAGCACTTATATTGTTGCTCTTTTGTTGGTTTGAATGCTGTTCGCTTTGGATAAAAGCATCTGCTAAATGATTAAATGTAAATGTAAAACACCTTGATGGATTTGTTTCTTATAAACAATCCACTTTTCACTTCACAAGATGACAACTGCAGAGGATCCATTGGTGAGAAAGTGATGTGATGCTAAATTTCTCCAAATCAGTTCCTATGAAGAAACAAACTCATCTACATCTTGGATGGCCTGAAGGTGATACATTTTCAGCAAATGTTCATTTTGGGGTGAGATATTCCTTTAATACTTATAGGCTTCTATAATACAGGTGCATCTCAATAAATTAGAATGTCATGGAAAAGTTCATTTATTTCATATTGTGTAGCCTAGTGAAACAAACTGAGACACCATTTTGAAGGCTCAGGAAACCTTTGCAGGTGTTTTGAGTTGATTAGTTGATTGGCATGTCACCATATTCTAATTTGTTGAGATAGTGAATTGGTGGGTTTTTGTTAAATGTGAGCCAAAATCATCACAATTAAAAGAACCAAAGACTTAAACTACTTCAGTCTGTGTGCATTGAATTTATTTAATACATGAGTTTCACAATTTGAGTTGAATTACTGAAATAAATGAACTTTTCCACGACATTCTAATTTATTGAGATGTACCTGTATGCTTAAACCTTGTATGATTCTTGTTTTCTAATACTATTTTTCCTTTTTATGTGCATAATTGCCCCCTCTCCTGACATAATATGATAAATTAACTCCAATCCCAGAAATGTCATAATAATCCTACATGGGTGGAGTGTTGATTTTACTTTTGACATGTTTGAGTCATTCTGAGTTTTCATAAGGAGTGCTATACTGGGACTTACTGTTCATCCAGTGTTGGTTTGTTTTGAAAGAAGGATATGATGATTATATCTGCTTCTGTCTCAAGTTTTAATGAACAACAAGCCTGGACAATTTCATAATAATGATGCAGATTTGTGACTGTACAGTACATTTTGCCTCTCAATGTTGCACTTGTTATTGAAGAGTTACTTGCCACAAAAGTCCAAGACAACAAATTACATCATGACTTTGTGAGTGGCTGGCTTTTTAATCCACAACTAATCGTTGATTTTACACAACTGAATGTTGCTTAATACACCATGCAGTGGTTTTGGTAGTTGGTAGCTTAATACACCAAGCTTTTCCAGACTCATACGCACCTCCATGATTTGTTGCAGTGGTTCTTATTGGAGAATCTGGCGTTGGCAAGAGCAACTTGCTGTCACGGTTCACCAAGAATGAGTTTAATCATGACAGCCGGACGACCATCGGAGTGGAGTTCAGCACAAGAACTGTGCAGCTAAACGGTCTCACCATCAAAGCTCAGATCTGGGACACTGCCGGACTGGAGCGGTACCGGGCCATCACTTCTGCGTGAGTTTAACATGGTATAATAAATGGTGGTGTTAAAGAAGTAAACATGCCCATAGTTCCCCAAAAATGACAATTATGTCAATTACTCAGTATCATGTTGTTGTTGTTGTTTTCTTCTTCTTCTGTGGAACATAAAACACTTTTTCATAAAGGGAATGGTGACAATAGCTGTGCGCTCAAATAAAAATAAATTAATAAAAAAAAAACTTTGATTTTTTTTACTGTAGTTAATTATTTTTATTTCTTACTTACATTATACACTACTGTTGGGGTGGGTAGGTGTGATTTTCTTAATGTTTTTGAAAAAAGTCTATTCTGCTCATTCTTCTTCTGCATTTATTTAATTAAAAATACAGTAAAAGAAATCACAGTGATACTGTGAAATATTATTGCAAATTAAACAGTTTTCTGTTTGGATATATTTTAAAATGTAATTTATGTAATTTATTCCAGAAAAGGTGAATTTTCAGCATCATTACTCCAGTCTTCAGTGTCACATGAGCCTTCAGAAATCATTCTAATATGCTGATTTGCTTCTCAAGAAACATTTCTTCTTATTATCTTATCTTATCTTTATTCTTATATTTTTTACTGAATAGAATGTTCAAAAATACAACATTTAGAAATGCTTTGTAACAATGTGAAAGTCTTTACAATCACTTTTGATCAATTTAATGCAAAAATAGGAATTTATTTTAAAAATTAAAAAAGCAGTCTGGTGAGGTGATGATGACATTTATTTTAATTGAACTAAATTTTACAGAATAATAGAATTTCAGGTGAACTGTCCGTTTAAGTAATTCGCTCATACTCTGAATATGTTTGTATGCAAATACATTATTAACTGCATGTAAATTGTCATTCATCTATTCTTTAGCAAATTTAGAAAAATGTAGCACATCATGTTTCACCACCCATTGCTATACAATTCGTTTCTCACCTGTTGTTCTTCTAAACCAGGGCTGCCCAAACTTGGTCCTGGAGGGCCGGTGTCCTGCAGAGATTAACTCCAGCTTGCCTCAACACACCTGCCTTCAAGTTTCTAGTATGCCTAGTAAGAGCTTGATTAGCTGCTTCAGGTGAGTTTGATTAGGGTTGGAGCTAAACTCTGCAGGACACCGGCCTTCCAGGACCGAGTTTGGGCACCCCTGATCTAAACCATCTTCATTATGTGATCTTGCTTATGACCATGTTTTATGACAGTGTTCTGCTCACTCAAAAAAGGAAGTTAATCCAGTCATCTGATCTGATGTGATCTGTTTTCCTGTATCTCAGATATTATCGAGGAGCGGTTGGAGCTCTACTAGTCTATGACATTTCAAAGCACTTGACGTATGAAAGTGTCGAGCGCTGGCTGAAGGAGCTCTATGATCACGCAGATCCTCATATCGTAGTGATGCTTGTGGGCAACAAAACGGACCTGTCAGCAGTACGATCTGTTCCAACAGCGGACGCAAAGGACTTTGCAGGTCATTACTGAAGACACCTTATTATATTATACCAGTTTACACATAATTCACACAAAAACTCAAAGGTCTTCACGACATACCTTCGAAATGAAAGTTCCACCTAACTTGAAGAAATTACAACAAATATAATAATAATACAATTTATTAAAACACACAGAAACTCAAAGCTTTTCACTACAACCTGCCAAAATAAATGTTCTTTCTAACTTAGAGAAATTATGAAATCATGTATATTACTATTGCACAGTAGAATGTACTTCTTAAAGTAATAATAATAATAATTATTATTATTATAACATTTATTAAACAATTTTAAGGAATATTAAAATGCTTCCTCCATGTTTTAATTAAAAATAATAATTATTCTATTTATTAAAAATAAAAGAAATTTTAGCATTTTTGTTTGACTACATTTTAAAAGATTACCTAAATTGATAGTTTTATAAATTTATTTGATTACCACCATTTTTTATAGTAAATTTGTTTTTTATATTCTATGCACTCCTGACAGTAAAATAAGCCACTATAAACCCATATAAAGGGCCAGTAATAAAAAAAAAAACTTCACTCTAAAGAAAACCAGTAAAAATGTACTGTAAATCTGGCGCAATGTACTGAATAATATGAAGGAACTTTGAAGGTGTTTACCTGTATTTTGAATTTTGCACTGCATTGCATTGTGTTTTAGAGTTAACGGAAATGTAAATGAATGTAGTTTACATTTCTAGTCTATTATCCAGTCTAACCTATTTTTTTTTAATTCAGTGAAACCCCCACTGTAAGAAAAAAAATCTATATGAAATGGATAATGTCCTAAAATCACCAGTTCATTTTCTGTTAAATTTACAGACATTTCATTAAACCCTCAAATCATAATTCAAATGATGGGTTAAACACCTGTAAAAAAAAAAAAATTAGTACAGAAAGTTCCTTCATAGCACATTAGGTTGTATTTTTACGGACTCCTCTTAGAGAGTATATATTATATATCATTTAGCACAATACTGACTTTGTCAACCAAAATCAATCTTGATATTCATCATTCTTTTTTTATAGAAAAGAATGATCTTCTGTTCATGGAAACCTCTGCTTTGGAGTCAGTAAACGTCGAGGCAGCGTTCAACACTGTGCTTACAGGTAGCTACTGTTTATTCTGAACACATCACACCATATTTACATGTACTTTACATGTGTTTCTTGCCCTCTGGGTTTCTCCTCTTCAGTCAGGCTTGAAATAGTGTAAGCACTTGGCTTCATTATCATAATCATGCTGTCATTGTTTGATCTCTTTCTTTCAGAAATCCATAAAAAGGTGAGCAGCAAAGAAGTGACCCGAGGCTCTATCAATGCTGTGACATTATCCCAGCCTAAAGCTCCAGCAGAAGACGCACAGGAGGAAAAGCAGGCCTGCTGTAAGAACCTGTGAAAGAACATATCGAATAGAAGGACCTTATGAGGGTCCTAATGGAGTTGTGAATTCAGCTTGTACAGTAGAGTTATCATTGAGAAAGAACGAGTATGATAAAAAACAAAAGGAAATCCATTTCATTGACTGACAGCCATATTTGTATTGTTAAATATTATGTAACAATTAAAAGGCATTTTAATGTTTGTCAGGTTTGACAAGGATTAATGTCAATTTTAATTAATTTCAATGTTAAATGTTCCCTCTCAGTAGGATATTTTTGTTTGTATTATTTATGAAATGTCATGCCAAACCTGTCTTTCTTTCTTTCTTTCTTTTTGAATATACTTGCATATATTCACTTAACATAATTTTTTATCCAAAGGGACTTACAAATGAGGAATACAACAAGCTTTTCATCTTACTCAAGTTATTAAGATCAATAGATGCTGGACAAATAACCTTATCACTTTAATTAGCGTAAGATGGAGGAAAGAACATATTTTTTGATTTACATGTTCATCCAGACTGTTTAGTTTTTAATTTGATTTATTCAACACGCCTAATGAAGATAATTGAAAACACACACACACACGCGCGCACACACATATGGTAAAGATTTTTTTAAAATTATTATTTAAAACTAATCAGCACGAATGTAATATTTTGTGCTATTAAAATCTATATATAAAAGATTTATAAGCAAAGTGTTGATTTATATCTTTATAAATGAATGCTGATGCTGCAGGTATTAGGGTAGCGTGGGAGGAAATGCCCCCCCTACTCTTTTTCCCAAAATAACCACTAGATAAGTCAAGATACATTTTTGTTGTAAATATGGGCTACGTTGACAAGAGTGATGTAGAAATATTCAGCATGAAGCTTACACTGGTGATGAACCTGAGAGAAAACGGATTTCACAGTAAGTGATCTCATTTTCGGCAAAAAGTGTTTTAAAGCTTGTTGTTTTGTAGAACATCACAGTTATATATGATATGAGAATAGTAAGGCCTGTAGATAGGGAGTATGTGTTATTTAAGAAAACTATAATTATATTTTCAGATTGACAAAAACATTTTTCAAACCTAATCTGTGGGGCAAAACGCCCCCAGGGGGCATTGCTGAATTACTGTTACTCTGTCCTGAACATCAAATCCTTTGTTTTCCCATCAAATGTATTCTAACTAGGTGGTTGGATTAAATTATATGGACTTTATATTTAAAAATTACCTCAAGTTAGCATCAGGTAGCTAGTTAGCTAGCCAGTTAGCATTAGCTAACAATGCTATTATAATTTTGTAATTCATAATTATTTGATTATATTCTTTTTAAAGAATACTGCATGTACTCTGATTTAGCTGTAAATGTGTAAATCAAATTGCTTTGTCAGACTGGGGGGATTTTAAATCCACTCTCCCCCAAACTGTGGGGCAAAACACCCCCCCCCTTGGGACAAAATTTATTTTTGTAAAAAATCTAATAACATGAAAAATCCTGACATTTTTCATACTTGGTTTGTAATTTATGCCATTGTCACTAAAATTATGAGAACTCTTCTGGACACATTTAACTTTTGTTTCACAGAGAAAAATTACACTGCATTTCCCCCCCGCTCTACCCTATCAGTTGCTGCTGTTAACACAATAAAGAAATATACAGAGCATGTCATTTTCCAATAAGAATTAAAGCAGAACTATGTGTGAAAAATATCTGAATTGTTTTGTTTTTCACAATGAGTCTCAAGTGCAGTTTGCAAACAACAACAACAACACAAAAGGGAAATAAATCTGACTACTCACAAAAGTTTGAAAATGCACACTGAATATTTATGAATCATCATCATTCAATAAACAGAATAATAAATATGACTTGGAATATGAATTGATTTGACCAGTTTGAATTGGAACTGGCTCAGGACTGGCAATCATAAATGTTGGAATAATTATGATTATTTATATTAATTGTGAAATACACCACTATATATATATATATATAAATTCTTAACTGGAACTTTATAAGAAGTCTCTTATGTTCACCAAGGCTGCATTTATTTGATGAAAAATACTGTAAAAATAGTAATATTGTGAAATATTGTTACAATTCAAAAGAACTGCTTTCTATTTTAAAATATATTTTGAAAATATAATTTATGATGGCAAAGATGAATTTTCAGCATTCATTACTCCAGTCTTCAGTATATATATATATATATATATAGAGAGAGAGAGAGAGAGAGAGTTTTTGTTTTTGAAAGAATATATAAATTAAATTTCTACTGAAGTGGCATTTCATTTTCAAACACTGATGACTGACTAATAATCTCATATGTGTAATTCTGAATGGTGCACAGCCCTGCCTCCTCATTGCCTCCTACGTGGCATTTTCAGGTCCCATCATCCTCTGTGAAGCAGTGAGCGAAGTCACGCTGTTGAATGTGGAAGAGCTCACCTGAAATATACCCGTGGCCCCGTGCTTTTTTTTTAAAGCTATTTTTCTAATGTACTGATAGACTACCTCGTGTTTTATTATACTTTATAGTTTTATTCAAAGGCGTATATTGATTATATTTTAGTATCATTATACTCTGTTTATATTGCCTGACGACAACTATAAAAGACACACCTGTGACGTTACACACCTGTACGGAAGCCCCATCAAACATTTCATTGGGTCACAGAGGAACACTCGTGTGACAGACAGGTTAGTTGGCCAATAAGATCATCGGAAAGGCGGGGCTACATCTCAGCACAATGACGTAAGTGGTTGCCTTAAGATGAGACAGCAGGGCGAAACTTGGTTGACGTAGCTCGGCAACATCGTATCAAAGTTGATTAGCTGTAATGTTTAGCTTATTCGGAACCTGTTTCTCTTAACGGCTACTTTATATAGGCTATACCCGTCGACAGAAGGAAATAAATAGTATATTTTTAATTTTTTGATTCTGAGAGTCTTTAACGCATGAAACGCACGTAGTAATGAAGCGCAAGTGATCAACTGATGCGTCTCATAAACAAAGTTTCCTTGAAGAGCGCCTTGTGGTTCTCCAGAAGAGCATAACGTCTTTATATTTGAAAACACGGACTTGTTATTAAGCCGGTAAGAAGATTAAAGCCATGACGGGTAGAGAGGACGAGTATGACTATCTCTTTAAAGGTGAGCACCACGTTCGTTTATGCACTTCAAGAGCAGCTGACTTTCAGAAGAGCTCCTGCATGTCGTCTTCATGTGTTGCTTTGTCTCCCTTGTCATAGGATGTCTTCTTTTTCTATCCTAAAACACAGATTAGCATATCCAAGCTGTGATTTGCAACTCTTTCAAGCAGGTCCAAGTTGGTCAGTCGCTGCTAGACCACCTCGGACAAGCAAAAAACCAGCTGGTCACACTGGCTTTGGCTGGACAAGCTGGTTTTTAGGACATGGTGGCAGGCAAACCAGCTTATGATCATCTTAGAGCTGGTAGAACCAAGTGTCGTGTTCCAAAACACAACTACCTTCTTACTATGGATTTTCCAACAGGGCAAATGCATAAAAGGCATGCATACATTTTAATCATTTCTATGTGACATTTTTTGCTTGATTTTATAATACACAACATGATTGGCTTCTCCTAATATGTCTTGTTTTGCGTTGTAATTCTCATGTAGCGTTAATTGTCACCCCCTATTTTTTAACATATAGGCTTGAAAGTGCACTATCCAAACTTAATAGTGTCAGCAATATAAGCACAGTTAAACCGGTTATACATGTATAAATCAGGTCCTTCTCAGGATGGGTTTGCATTCAGGAGGTTTTAAAAACTTTCCTTTGATCTAATGAATCAAATGCGGTGGTTATGTCCATGAATTTGACACTTCCATTAGTCAAAGTTCTGCCCTTGATCTCCATGTGTCTAAGCTGTCCGTGCACCTTTTGGTGTTTGACCATGAATCAATCAGTGCTGTTCAATCACCGCTCTGCTCTTTAAACATGTCTGTCCACTAGCTTTAAAACAAGCAGTAGTCTCTAGTGCATTCCTGTGTGCCTAACTCAGATATTATTATTAGCTGAGACCTCCGTTATGGATTTCGTTCTTGATTCATGTTGACGAGTTGGCAACATTAACCCAATTTATTTCAGGTTTACATTGAATAAAATTTTTTTAATTGTCATTATTTAATCACCTTCATGTTATGTTCCAAGTCTTCTTCTGAAGTCTCACAACATCTCTGTGTGATGAATAGACTGGAATTTATGTCATTAACTAATAATCTTTCCCTCAACAAAAGCTTTGAAATCATATTCACTTTCACAAATCTAAATATATGAGATTTGATGTCCTTGAAGCATCTTTTATTATTTTACATGAAAGTGTTCCTCTTATCTCTTACAGTATGCCCACCTAGGCTGCACTGATTTCATAAAAAAATAAAAAAGATTAAAAACAATTCGCACACTATTTTGTAAGATTTTTATGTTTTAAGTCTCTTCTGCTCACCAAGACTGCATTTATTTGATCAAAAATACAGTAAAGACAGTAATGAAATATTATTACAATTTTAAAATAACATTTTCTTTTTGAATATGATATTTTAAAATATAATTTATTCATGTGATGCAAAGCTGAATTTTCAGCAGACATTACTCCAGTCTTTAATGACACGATCCTTTAGAAATCATTCTGATATCCTGATTTGAAAAGTTTTGCTGCTTAATATTTTTTTTTTGTGTGGAAACTGTGACAAATTTCTTTATGAATAGAAAGTTCTAAATAACAGCATTTATTTGAAATAGAAATCTTTTGTAACATTATAAATGTCTCTACTGTCACTTTTGATCAATTTCATGAATCTTTGCTGAATAAAAGTATTAATTTCTTACCGACCCTAAACTACTAAACTTAACTGTAAATATAATTTCTCAGTAATATCTGTTCCATTTTTGCCATTGTCAGCAGGTAAAAAAGTCTTACCGACCCTAAACTACTAAACTTAACTGTAAATATAATTTCTCAGTAATATCTGTTCCATTTTTGCCATTGTCAGCAGGAGACACAGACGTTCCCAGTATTTCGTAAGTCCTACCTGTGTGGGTGAAAAAGGGAGTTGCTCTTCAGTCATGCCCTTTACATTCATTGTTAAAAGCTTTGTGGAAACACACCCTTTGTGTGTGAAATATTCAAATCTAATTGCTGTTGTGCGGCGGAGGGAGGCCGGTTCCTGCAAGCGCACAAATGGAATCTGCTCGAAAGAGCTCTTACAGTGTCATGTGTGTCTCCAGGGACAATAGCAAACACAATAGCGTTTAAAAGCACCATAAAAATCTGTTGATTTCACGCACCCGTGTCCTCTTCACTCGCAGTGGTTCTGATCGGCGACTCGGGTGTGGGCAAGAGTAACCTGCTCTCTCGCTTCACCCGCAATGAGTTTAACCTGGAGAGCAAGAGCACCATCGGGGTGGAGTTTGCCACACGCAGCATCCATGTGGAGGGCAAGACCGTCAAGGCCCAGATCTGGGATACGGCTGGACAGGAGAGATACAGGGCCATCACATCAGCGTAAGTGTCTTCATAGAATCTATCAAGACATCAACTCATTTTAAAATGTCTTTTGTTTTGTGCACAATTAAAAAAAATATATATCATTTTTAAATAAAATGTAATAAAAAAATGTAATATAGTTAATAAAATCAATATAATATAATAAATAATAAAAAAGTGTGTGCATAATTATTCGGAAAGTCAATATTCTGATCATATTGTTTTTTAACAATGATTTGTTTTTTGTTGATTTGTACATAGTCATTTATAAGTGATTTATAGTTGTTAACAGGGGCTGGAAGTAAAAAAATAAAAAGGCTAATATTCAGATATGCATAATTATTAAAGGAATAGTTCACCAAAAATGGAAAATTCCATCATTAATTACTCTCGCTCATGTCGTTCCAAACCTGTAAGACCTTCATTCATCTTCAGAACACAAATTAAGATATTTTTAATGAAATCCGAGAGCTTTCTGACCCTGCGTAGA